CCAAGTACTTTCTTCAGTTTTTTGGAAAGTTGTTGAAAGAAAAGGTTTTGACATGGACTTCTTCCTAGGTTATTGACGAGTGGCGGTGGTACAAATCAACGGTTCCTACATATGGAGCAATCTTACTAGATGAAACCCTAAACCACGTGTTACTTGTTCAAGGATTCTACGCGAGCAAAAACAGTTGGGGATTCCCCAAAGGGAAAGTAAGTCAATTTTGAGGGAATGAAATATTTTTTTGCCAAGTTGCCTTTGTTGTGGGGCGTATCATTCGTTAAACGTTTCTGGTGACGTTATCATCATTTGTGGGGAAAGAGCGAAGAAAAGCCTGGATGTGTAGGCATTTGCACATTATGCGGTAAGCGTGAGAGAGAGAGAGTTCGTGATTTGTTTCAGCGTCCCGAGCATCTCTTAGCGTTTTGAATGACTAGGAATGAATGACTTTGTTTAGATCGATATTCTTGTGATGGAGGAAACCACATATGGAGAGCGATCGTACAGTCAAGCACTTTTTCTCACAGATTTGTTTATAAGCAGATTCCAAATGCTGATGTATTCACAATCAATGAGGAAGATCACACTCTGGGGAATATGCTGAAGCAGTAAGTAAAACAGCCATGATTATTCGCTTTCCTTTTTTGAAGCTGAACTTGGTCTGGTAATTGGGTCCGCAAGCATGAATCGGACGTGTACTTGACCTTTGTGATTTTGAATGGAGCCAGAGCGCATGGCCCGCACTATGAGTGCGCCGTGTCTCTTTTCTTTACATCTTTTGTCGGCATGATAGAGGTACTTCAAGAATGTAATACAATACTGCAATACTAGGGACAAAGGGGATCTTCGCCGCTAATCAGTCCCATTCGGGGTGCAACACGCTTTCATCTTAAATTCAGAATTGTAGTGGCTTATTGAATGCGATGTGGCCTATACAATGACCTGCGGGGCCAGCCGATGTACAAGTCAGTGTTCTTATCCTCCCAGACGAATCTGGTACCAATTTACCGTCCCCGGGGGGTCCTGTATTTCCGTAACTGTATTTTTACGCCTAAAACAACGGGCAGACAAGGGCAGGCGAAAGAGAGGTAGAGTTGGCGTTCAGTTTCTGGAGCCGCTTAGGTATGCTCACATTGCATATTTTGACATTTGCTATGGTTTTCGAAAAGAAGTACACGTGCAATTCTTAGTAATTTCTTATTGTAGGTAGGTGGCATTGACCGCGTTGCTGCTGCCGACGTTGCAGCACAACCAGCAACAAAGCAATGAAACGCCTCTAGGAAGCGGAACCTCAAATTAGCAGCAGTCAGAAAAAGATCCAAGTGATTGTACGCTTTGCTTGTTTTTGCTTTTCGTGGAACTTCTCGCTTCAAAACCGTCTCTCTACCATTGTTTCAGTATAACTAGAAGCGCCTTCCCTTTTTCTCATCACTGTTATATCGCTAGGTTCCGTTTTTGACTGCTACATCTATGGGTACTGATTCTAGCAATTGACTTTTTGAGAACAATTGCTATAATTCATAGAACGTTTGCCATTATTCATTTGAAGCCAGTTTTTAGTTCGCATCGTTTTTAGAGAAGTTGTCTCCGTGGATGAGAATAAAGCTGTATTTCAATGCAATATTATCATAAAACATATGACCGTTTTTTCAGTGATCGCTTATTTAACCCCACAAGGGAGACACTGCCACCGCGGTTCCCAATGAGTTTGTCATTTGTCACGCGGTGACAAATGCATGGGAATCCCAGAGTGAGGTTCTAAATTACTCACAACTATTCCGTGGTATTCTTGTCTCACCAGCAGATAGCAAGACAATGTTAGCCGTCACTTTTGTTTTCCCTGTGCCTGAGAATGCAGCTACGATTTTGCTGACATTTGGTCCGAAAAAAGCAAGGTCAACTACAAGGGGAAACCTAGTTTTCCAGCTCAGCTGCGATCAGAGGCAGATGACGTCAATGACGTCATGGAACATAATGTCGGACTCGTGTCACGTGTCAAGAATGGCACTGTTGCTTTTGCTGCTTATGCTGCGGGCGTGTCAGGAGAGGTATTGGCTGGCTCGGCACCAGCTCCACCAGTTGTTGAAGCGGGCAAGTGGCAACGACTAAAGGAAAACAGGGCCGTTGCGCCAAACACGGCCCCTGATGCGCCAAAGCATCTGAGCGGTAACGGTGATACATGCACAAACGTGGAACCAATCAGATACGTACAAAAGATGATCATTGAAAGTAAGACTTGCGTGGGTGACGGAATGCTGTATTTTCGGTTACGTGACATCTTGAACTTCTGTGCATGGTCCTGTTGCGAGGTCGAGAAAATGCTCGATGGAGCTCAAGTTGAAAAATCACATGACAACCCCCGTAGATGTGCCAGGACTGAGGAAAAAATAAGAATGATGCCAAGTATAGGCATAGAAACTGGATCACAATGACGGTGACAGAGAAAATTATTGGGACGGTGACAGAGAAAATTATTGGGAATATAGAGACGCTGTGCTGGATTCTAGCAGTCTACGATGGGGTTCATGTTGAAAATTACATGACAACCCTCGTAAATATGCCAGAACTGAGAAAAAACAGCACAACAAGAATGGTCACGTAAAAGTAAAAATATAAAAATGTAAATTCGGGGTAAAAAATGTAGAAACCGTCAAAATACAGCAGAAAAGGTTCACAAAATGGCGCCGAATATCACCAGTGTAGCAGTGAATAGTAGATGGTTACGTTGTTGCTGCACAGGAATTCAAAGAAATTGCCTAGCAAAACTTTCCATGATGTGGGTCGAGGACGCCGTGAAACAACGCTAATCCTTTGCTCCAGTGACAACTCGGGAGTACGGTAATGCCA